CACCCCAAAAAAAAAAGGTAGATATTTAGCTTTCCACCCATCCAACCCTCTCTAAGATTGGTGTCCAAATTATGCCAGAATTTGAAGCACCTCCTATCAGCATTCCCAAATGGGTAAATGGGAGCTCACCAATTATGCATTCAAGAGCACTAGAACATTCCTCCATAACATCCCTCCCCACCTCTCCTACTTCGATTATCATGGTTTTTGACAAATTAATCTTCAGCCCTGTTAACATTTCAAAGTTTTCCAATACTTCTCTTAAATTCAGCATCTGTTCCACCATAGCATCCAAAAAAATCAAGGTGTCATCTGCATACTGCAGATGGGTAATACAAGGACCATCCCTTCCAACCTTAAATCTCTCAATCAGGCCTATTTGTCCATTTCTCTCTAATAAAAGATTCAAAATCTTCATAACCATCACAAATAGCAGAGGAGATATTGGATCTCCTTGTCTTAGACCACTAGAAGCTTGAAAGAATTCTGAGGATATGCCATTTATGAGAATTGAGAGTGAAACAGTTGATACACATGCATGCATCCAAGACCTCCACTTTTCCCCAAATCCCATCAGTCTTTGAATTTCTTCTAAGAATCCCCATTCCACATGATCGTAAGCCTTCTCCATGTCAACCTTACACACCAAACCTTGTCTTCCACTTCTCAATCTAGACTCAATCTAGACTCAATGCATTCACTTGCCACTAGTACTCCATCCAGAATTTGTCTTCCTTCCACAAAGGCCATCTGAGCTTCCCCTACTACCTCATGTAAAACTGACCTTAATCTCTTCAATAAAACTTTAGCCAATAACTTGTAAGGGCTGCTGATTAGACTTATTGACCTAAAGTCCTTTAGATCCACAGCTTCATCTTTTTTTGGAACTAGGGACATGAAAGTAGCATTCATCATCTTCTCCAAGCTCTTATCTCTATTAAACTCCTTAAACATTTGATTAAAGTTTCTCCCCAACCAATTACAACAGGCTTTGATGAAGGTGAAGTTAAAACCATCCGGGCCCAGGGCTTTATCCCCGTTAATGTCTTTTAAGGCTTCTTTAACTTCCTCCAACCAAAATTCTCTTTCGGTCCAGGATGCTGAATTCTCATTCAGCTTCTTTGGAGCCAGCTCTCCAAGTGACATCCACTCCACTTTTTTGAGGTATACAAAGCCTTGTAGAAACCAACCACCTTATCCTAGATTTCAGTCCAGGACTCTCCAATCTCCCCTTCCACCTGAATTCTAGAGATGAAGTTCCTCCTTGCACTAGCATAAGCATAAAAAAAAAAGCTGTGTTTTTACTCTCAAAATGTGGCAAATCATCACATTTAAAATACAAAAATATTTTAAACATATCAGTTTGAAAACTTACAAAAATAACTACTAATATAATAAATATTTAATAGAGCAATTTCATATCAATTATCAACTAAAGAAGGCTATAATTTTATATGATAAAAATTTAAGAAAGAAAGTAAAGGAGAAAAGACAAGGTTGGAGCTGTTGTTTTATTTAATGTCAAACAGGGAGAGAGAGAGAGAGAGAGAGAGAGAGAATAGGAAAAAATAAAGAAAAAAAAGCATCTTTATGTTTCTATTCTTTCTTTCCTTTTCTCTTATCAAAACCCTTTGACCTTCCAAATTTCAAGAAAAACTTTAAAACAAATCATAAATGTTAGTAAGAAAAAGCAATATGAATGATATTATAATAAGGCACCCACCATATCGTTTTTGTTGCCTAGGCAGATGCCTTGTTGCTGCAAGTCAAGGAATTTAGGCAATGCTTTGAAGTCTTCAATTGTGTGTAAATACCACATCCAACACTTTGTTTATCTATGCCCTTACCATATCTCTATCAACTTATATATGATATAGTATCACCATCTTAATTTTGGAACTATCTCTTTTGCAGTCAAGGATCTCTTTGTTGGTGGGATAGGGCTTGTGTAACTAACCCCAAATAGTTGGAATTAAAGCTGAGATTAGTTTGTGCTCAAATAGTCAGCTCCTAGGCAACAAGTAGTCAAGCATTGCCTAGGGAGGCCAAAACAACTATTAAACATCTCACCTCACTGATGTCACTGTTCAAAAGTTATTTTAATAGTTTAAAAACTTACACATTCAGGTAAAGTATCCAAACTTGGGGACAATATAATACAAAGAAACCAAACAAACTATAAGTTGCCTAATCTAGAACATATATACATATTGTGAAATAAAATATAGGTCACCTATTCGAGAAGAAATGCACATTCCATGTCAGCTACATGAGTCCTGCTTCGCCAATCCATTATATTTCTAACCCCTTCAATGTGTAACAAATCACTTCTTCTAATTGGCGCAGTTGGTGGTTGCCTATGCACATGCCCAAACCATCTTAGTCTACTCCCTCTCATTTTATCACCTATTGGAGCTACTCCTAGGTTCCTACAAATAACTTCATTCCTAGTCCTATCCTTTCTAGTTTTTTTCACTCATCCATCTTAGCATTTGCATTTCTGCTACAGTTTGGGAAGAGTACAAATACAAATATGTACACTACAAATACAAGGTTTAGAAATACAATATGTGCAAGGTTTTGCACTTTACATATTTGTATTTGTACTCTTCCCAAACTGAGTCTTAGAAGTAACCACTATACATTCCAATAAGAAATATTGGATTTTATAAGAAAACCTGAAAGAAAGTTATGAAAGCATGGGCCCCACAAGTTGTTCATTCTCTTGCTTCTCTTTCTAACAACTGAATAATAAAGCATCTAAAGAACTCATAATGAAAATCCAAAATAACGTAAATAGACTGATAAAAAGTTGTCAGATTTCAGGGAAAAAAACTCAAGACACCCAAGTCTCAAATCAACGCCAAAGGCACCTAAAAACAATTCTGTTCTCCTTAGCACAGTGAGTCTGACAAAAAGAAAGAGGTGAAAAACCAAAAAAAAAAGATTCAATATCACACCCCAAAGTTCCATTGGGAAAAAACAGTTTAAGATCATGCAAACATGTTGTTATGTTATATGGACATAATTCAAGGATTAACTTTTTCAGATCTTATAGAGAGCACCGGGGGAGGGGGGAAGGGGTGAGAGAGAAAGAGAGAGAGAGAGAGAGAGAGAGAGAGGACATTATACCATGCCCGAGGAATCTCTTCCACCACAAAGCAAAAACATACCATCCGAACGGGCACTAGCAGTTGCATACCTAAAAAGTAGAATGAGTGAAATTAATTAGGAAATAGAAGCTCTTCAAACTTTCTTTTTGTTCAAGATAATATTACTTAGTAGAACTTTTACAATTTCGTAACGATGTGTATAACAATGTGTATATAAACTGACATTCTAGCAGAAGGCCTATCTCCTTCAGGGTTGAGTTTCTGCCATCTGTATGGTTTTTGTGCAGTATCCAGAGCCCAAGCATCTGATAAAACTCTCTTGCCTACAAAAATAAAGTAAATTATAGTCCAGAACCACTAAAGAGATTAATACATAATAGGAAACATTGTTCACACATGCACATGTATTCAAATTAATTGCTTAGGAAGAAAATCTAAAAATAAATAATAGATGTTAACAAGGACCACAGAAAGGAGCAGAAAACAGTTGGTAAACTATAAGACATATTGCTCCTCCAGCCAATTATTTTTCCTCTTTGTTGCTGATGGATTCTTGTAGATGCTGGATCATGTGGAGATGTGCCCATGCAACTACTCTTTGGTGGTGCATTTTGCAGGAAAGTTATTCTAAAATCTTCATCATAGACATGAATATCATCAAAATGGCACACTGCATCCTACAAGAGATTAGTCTAACAACTTCTAGGTGGATCAGTGATCAGAGAAAAGGCACATTATTGAGAGATCATCAATTAGCAGGAATGGTCAGTCAAACAAAGCCCCCCCCCCCCTCAACCACCATCACCACCAAACACAATCAGGGACCTATGAAGCCTGATCTCATTTTTTGCTAAGGAACCTGAGACCTTCAATAGAGGTGGCTCATTTGGAGGATCCAGATAAATACTGGTAGTGTGCTCAAACCAATTGTGGATGAACAATTCAGTCAGAGCAAAGATTATAGCATTGCTTCTATTAGTGGTGTAGGGGGAATTCTCAGGCCACAACTGCATATGGATGAAGAATGGTTTTGATGGACCTCGAAGTCTAGTCATATAATTATGGTGGCAAAAGCCTTGGTTTCTGAAGAAAAAACAATTTGTCACCCTCAACTCACAAAAGTGTGCCCATAGTACTCCCAGTGACCTCTTTAAAGCGCATATTCATAACCTCCATGGAGCTGAAGCGGAAACCTTCCCATACTTGTTATTGCAATGTAAATACACATACAACATTTGGTCCCACCTCCTGATGTTCAAAAGAAATCAGATCATCTATAAGAATCTCCCAATGTTGATATCTTCTTGGCCAATAAGAGATTTCATCAGGCATGGCACCATTTTCTAGAATCACACTCCTGCAAGGGTCAGAGTGTATATTGCTTATTAAAAGAGAGCAAGATTTGCTTTCAAAGATGAGCTTCAGATTCTTCCCTTCCAATGACTTCAAAAGTCAAAACCTGATAAAAGGTTTCAACTTCCAGAGATTTACCTTCAAAAGGATGGACTGTTTCTCAAGTGTTCTTTAATTCCTCCTCTTCCTTAGATTCCAAAACATGGTAACAACGGACCAACTTCAAAAAACTTCACCCTACTAGCACATAAGAAGCTTAAAAATCCTTACCCTGCCCATATCACCAGTTACCATGGAGAATGACAGACACTGCAAATGGGCTGCAGACTGGCTCCTTTCTTTTCTTCTCAAAGCATAGCTCCAGATGCACCATCAGTCTTTTTTTTTATCAACACTGGACGTGATCAATCCATCTCAATTAATCAACCATCTCTTGCACTATTATCCATTATGGCTTGGGAATACTCATGGGTCTAATGGATGTGCTCATTCATGACTTTCTATTTTCCTGGAATTGACAGTTATTTACCTCAATCTCCACATTCAACTATTCTCATTGAGAAAATATTATTTCTTGCTCGTCTCAGACTTTGTTTCTACAAGGCATGAGCAGTCTCACTGTCTCAGTATTTTCCTCATTCATCTTTAGGTAGCCCATTATGTGTTAGTTAAGAAGCAACCAAGATGACTTGCTATCATGATCCTTTGTCATGATTCTCATTCTCTTATTTTTGCATAACTTTATTGATACAACATAATATGAAAAATATATGCACAGCTAAGTAGGGGAGGAGAGGTTTGCATGATCTGAATAAAAGAAAGAAAGAAAGAAGTGTCAAATGCCCCCACCATCATTGCCGCTAACAGTGACGAGATACCTTTGACCAACCAAGTCCATTGCGTGGCCATAGCGAGGCCCGGGACCTGGGCCTTGAACAACAACCCTGCATTAAAGTAGGGGGAGAAAACGATGAAATGAAACAACAGTAAAGAATTCACCCTTAACTCAAAATTCACTAGAAGAAACTCCCATGACTAACCTGTGCCACTTAAATTTTTCATTAGTCAAGTCAAGCACGTAAAGATCATCTGTGGAATGCCCAGCAGGACCTATGCCACCCTAGCAAGATAGCATCAACGAGTAAAACAAGACCATATAATGTAACAGAAGAAATAAATAACAGACTTCAAAAGAAAGATGTCTGTTTCTTTCTTTTTTCTGAATTTCCTTATTTCACCTGGAAAACAACCATAGTGCCAACAGCAGCTGCAGCATGTGCGGCCCGAGGTGAAGGTGGCTCCCCAGCAGGTCGGATCCTGCAAAATTCGAAGCCTCAAACCCACCCAATAAGCAAATCTCTTCAAACTTTGATCAAAATTAGGGGGTTCAAAGGATAATTAAAAAGCAGAATAGAATGAATAGGACGTACCTAGTCCATTTCCTGGTAAGAACATCATAAGAATGAACTGAACTGGTCACACCCGCCAGCCCTGCAATACACAGACAAAATACTGAAGTGAATTCATAAACAGAGAGGAGGTAGTTGCAGGGAAAAAAAAGTGGAAGGAACCATAACTGATTCCAGGAGCTGAAGGACCGCCACCCTCGATCGCAGTGGCTCCACCAAAGAGAATAAGGCGAGGACCGTGAGTTTTGGTGGCAGCGACGGCAGTAAGCGTGTGTGCACAGCGTGGTCCAGGTGCATCCTCGTCTGTTTCCCAGCTCGTCTCGACAGAACGGTAGGTCGGAGCTGGGTACAGCCATGGCTTGGAACCCATCCAGCCAGAGAGAGAGAGAGAGATGACAGACTTGACAGGTATGAAGGGATGGAGGGAGGGACGAGACGAAGGTGGAAAGAGAAAAAAAAAGACGAGAAAAGCCAATAGAAGAAAAGTGGAAGAAAAAAGAAAAAAGTTGGAACCCTAGGTGGATCGGAGGTGGGTCCCGGACTCGGTTGGCCTGGCACCAATACCGACCCCCCCTTCTTTCTTCCCAGTTCTCAGTTCCCCCCTCCTCTGCCGCTCTGCCACACTGCTCTGGTGTTTGGTTGGGTTGGTTCTGCTGTTGTCTTTGATTCCCTTTTATGGAATTTCTTTACTTTTTTTGGCTTCTCTGGCTTGCTCCCCCGCTCCCAAGAAAAGAAAAAGAATTACAGGTAGTTGAGAGAATTCCCCCCTTCATCAGTCATCAGTCATCATCATGTGCGTCTTCTTCAGTTTTGCTTCTTCTCTGTCTGATTTATTTTCTCATTCTTTCTTCTTTTCATTTGTAATCATGGTCATTTTGATCCTCTGGAGCAAGAGTTAGAACCAAGTAACCAACTCTCAAATTCAAATGTGAATCGATTCAGGGGAAGCCGAGGCGCTCCTCCTTGACTATTTATTACTGTTTGCCTGTTACCGCAACGTACAGTTGGGTTGGTGGATCCAGGACCCATGTGGAATTTGGAATCCACCGCATCCCTTTTCAGATTAAACCTTCATGCGTCAGTTTCTTATCCGAAGGGTCCACACGTTAAAAAGACGTGGAGTATCGTGATTGGTCCAATATCACCCACTACGGCCATAGAGAATTCAAAGTTCAAACCGCAAATACTCAGCGTCAGCGAGTCCACTTTGAATTGTACGTTGTCTTTACAGGTAAATTTTTCTTTTTCCATTTCAACCAATGAGATGGGTCCACGTCGGTTCCACTTTCTTTTAGGGAAGAAACCCAAAAAAGGACAAAAGGGGAGTGTGTTCAGACAACACACTAGACAGGTGGCAAAGGAGAGTGTTAGACAGGTGGACAGTTGTTGATAGCCGTCGTGGAAAATACATCCCGGTGAAGATGCGATTGGATCATGAAGGATATGTTTAGCATCGATGCTGCATATACGGCATGTGTGGGTGGAAGAGAAAATGGTGTTGTTATTTTTTTTGAAAATGTTGTTGTCAGCTATAACGTTTTCATTGTTACATCACGTTTTCATTGGCAGCAATGAGCTCCAATACAAGAAAACGTCAAATTCAGCGTTGCTCCAAACCATACATTCTCAATTTCCAAGGCGTGACTTGGAGTACAATTTTTTATGGAAAAACGGTTCCAAACAAACAGACGTTTTCTAAAGCACTGCTTTTTTTCCAACGTGGCACTAATGTGTCACCGTTTTGTGGAGCAACGGCATCGATGCCAAACAAACGCAAAGAACGTAGGGGTGCAAGTCAGGCGGGTTGGGCCAGGTTTATGGTCAACCCGGGCCCAACCCTAAAATTTGGGCTTAAGGCCCGAGCCCAGACCAAGCCCGAAGTCAAGCCTGATTTTCCTAACCCGAGCCCAATCCACACTATAATTTGATGAATTTGGGTTAGGCTCGGACCCGGGCTGAGTTTGGGTTGGTCAATGAACCCACTCTAAAATTATACATATATGTATTTATACAAATATGTATATGTATATTTATGTATATATGTATACAAAATATGTATGTGAATAGATATATATATATATATATATATATAAACACACAAATATATAAATATATATATGCATAACTAATATATATATATATATATACATATGTGTATAATTGGGCCGATTCGGACTCAGGTTGGGCCCACCCAAGTTGCACCCCTAAAAGAATGCCACAAGATGACTCAAGCAAACAGTTAGATGGATATATCATTATATCTTATTTATAAGGAAAAATTCTTTATCAATACTCTGTGAACTTTTAGAATTGTGTCAAGTTAATTCCCGAACTTCAATACTCTGAACTTCCAAACTATCCCTCAGATGGTTGGGGATTATTGGTTGGGGGATGAATTGAGATTTCTTACCAATTAAATATGGTTCAACACCCTACCAACACCATACACCTCATACATGTCAAGTTCCACTTCAATGGTGGATATGAGAAGAAGTTTTGCTTGTTGGAGATTCCTTGAAGGGAAGGAAATCATGTTAAGGATTGGTTAGCCAATAACTCTCTTAATCAATAATTAATTGGTTCTAATTTTCATTGAGATATTTGTGAAGGATTGGGGTAGTCCTTACTTAGCATCATTTTCATTTTTCAACGTATTAAAGAAAAAAAGGAAAATTGTCTAAAATTTACCATGACTTTTCAGCATTTCTCTTAAAATCATCATAACTTTTCAAAACGTCTAAAATCCATCATGTCACTAGCTAATTTTACGTTAAACAAACTAATGGGTGTTAATATATTACCACTTTACCCTTCATAAAAAAATATAAAATATATACATATATATTTTAACTAAAAACACATGAAAAAAAGGAAAAGTTCAAAAATTATTTTCAAATATAAAATAAATAAAAACACAGAAATTACAAAAAAAATATAAAAAATTATAGAAGTTCCAAACAAAATAAAAATTATTTTTAAATTATAGAAACTATAGAAATTGAAAAACAAAATCAGAAAATAAAAATTATAGAAAAAAACAAAAAATTATAGCAAAACACAGAAATTGCAAATAAATAACAAAAATATAGGAAAATTTATAGATTGTAGAAAGTAGAAAATTTTTAAAAAAGAAATTATAAAAACATTAGAAATTATAACACAACAATGAAAATGCAAAAAAATAAAATAAAATTGAAAACTAAAAAAGACAAAAAAACTCTAAAAATATAAAGATTGGATAAAAACAGAAATTGCAAATATACGTTAAATGATAAAAACTATATAGAAAAAAGTAATAAATTGTAGAAAACAAGAAAACGATAATTTTTTTTCAAATAAATCAATTACAAAAATACATAAAGTGATAAAAATTTAAACCAGTGCTTTAAAACGTGGAGGCGTGACGCAAGGCGTTCCACTACCTAGAGGCGTGAGACGTAATTCAGAACGCAAGAGGCGTAAGCCTCCCGAACACAAGCCTCCTTGAGAGAAGGGGGTTATGAGGAGGATGAAAAGGAAGGGGGGATCTTATTTTTTCTTTATTTTTAATAAAAATCTTTTATATTAAGAAAAATAAAGATGCATAAGAGTATTTCAAAAGAGTGAATATACCTTCTTGCATGTTCTAATGATTGAACGGAAAAAAACTATGAAATAAGTGCAAAATGAAGCCTAGAGCTAGATTCTTTGGGGTTTACTTTGGGTGCAACTATCTATCGGATCTCTTTCAATAAGCACAGAATGAGGGAGCTTTATGAGGATCTTTGGATTGTTGTAGCCGTACATGTACAGAATAGTAGTTATGAGATCTTTTTTTCATCTCTATTGTCCTCTCATCTTCCCTATCCCTCCCTTTATTCCTCTATTTCCAGGTTTGTTTAGGTGATTATATAACCTGGGTTTTGAAAGTTGAAGACTCACTTGACGGTGAGGAGGTGTTGAAGGTGAGATGTGTGCAATCCATCATAGACAGTTCTTCTAAGTGTCGATGGTGGTGATTATTCAATCCACAAGAAGGATGAGGATGTTTTATTTTTATTTTTTTAATGGTTTTTGCAGCATCAACTCTAATTTAGTTTCTTTTTCGGATTTAGGTTTTGTGAAAGCTACCGCAACAATGATAGAAATGAGAGGAGATCATCACTAGGGAGTACACACATCAATGCACTTTCAAGAAGATGGCTCGGACCTATACATGAAATCAAAAAGTTTACATAGAAAACAATAGGGGATCTAGAGTGTGACAAGGGGTTGGGTTATCTACAATTTGGTTGAGTTTTATTTATGCTTTGGTTGCTTCAACCGAAATGGGTAATTTGGTAATCTGCTAATGAATTCATGTAGAAGGGGATTTATTTTGTGGTTAACATGAGTTGAGTTTGGATTTTTTTATGGGGAACATTGATTGGCTTTCGGTAATAATTGAGTTGGTAGCTAGATTCTAAAATTCTTCCATTTTTTTTTTTTTTTTGAATTGGAAGCTTCAGGTTGGGTCAGAAAAGCTTGATAAATGCAAAACAAATACCTAATATTATTTTCATAAAATAACTTTTCAGGTCTCACCAAATATAAAAATTACATAGTGGGGAGTCCACTTGAATTCCTAGGTTACCAATCAATGGTGGTTTAGTTGATAGTTTTCTGGATGTTTGTAGTGGAGATCTAGGACCAACTATCACTGCTACTAGTAGGGTTGTCCATGAAAAATCGAAAAACCGAAAAATCGAACCGAATCGAGAAAACTGAACCGCAAAATGCGGTTAATTGAATTGGTCGGTTTGACTTCGGTTCGGAATTTTTTAAAAACTAAAGGATTGGTTCAGTTTTGGTTAACCTATAAAAAAAACGACGGTTAACCAAACTGACCGGTACATATATTTATATGTATATTTTATATATTTTTTTAATATATGTCACATATTTTCTATGTATTTTATATAAATATATATTCATTATATATAAATATATACTTATATTATATTTATAATGATCTGTTTACAAATATATTATATATTTTTAAAATATTTATAATATATTATATATCATTTATTCTTTATAATATAATTAAAATATTTACAAATGACATTTGTAATTTATTTTATTTTTAAAACATGGCCAAGTTTGAGCTTTAAGACTACGGGTTGGGCTTTGGTTGATCCTCAATTCAACCCAACCCACCCAAGTTGCACACCTAAGAGAAATGTGGTATTCGTATATGGGTTGAACCAAAACGAGGATAATCCATCCATACATTATTTTTAGGGTTTTAACTAATTTTAGATAAACATTATTAATATTGAAGCCGAAGGAACTATGGGGGATGGGCTACCCCCAAGCTTTAATATTGTATTAATAGTTTTTAAGGTTGCCTTGCCCAATTCGACTCACATCCCAAGTATAATAATATTTGTTTGGGTCTGAGATATGGACTAGCTTGCATGTATTAATTATAAAACTATGATTTCTTTCATAAATTACAATTTTTATTTAATTTTAATTTGCTATAATAAATATATAAAAAAATCTATCTAGGCAACCTATAAAATTATTAATACAATATGAAAATCTAGCCCAATATCTTTTATGTTTTTGGTTCATTGGGCTACACAATGGCATACCCCATAACTCAGTTTGGTTCAAATAATTACAAATGTCACATTGTTCTTAGGGTTGCAACTTAAGGGGTTGGGTCAGGTTGAGGATCAACCAAAGCTCAACTTGAATTCTTAAACCTCAAGCTCGGGCTTAGATTAATTTAATTATAACTACAATTTAACTTTATGTATTTACTAATATTTAAGTATTTTAATTATTTATGTAATATTTACAAAAAATTATTATATTTAATTGATAATAAAGTAAAATAAATAAAATAGAATACTAATGGATAATATGAAAAATAATTATTTTATTAAGTAATTAATAGTAATTTATTATTTTTGTA